AAAAAAACCAATTATATGAAAAATTTTTTAATTTTTTTTAAATAAATTAAAAATTTTTTTGTGATCACAAGTTTTACTATTCTGTATACCCCCCTTTAGCCTTTAACACTGCCTTAATTCATTCAGGCATTGTGTCAATTAACTTTAAACAAAACTCATCATTGACTTCATTCCATACTTTTTGTATTTTGTTCCACAAGTCCTCAGTGCTACTAATATTATCGGGAAGCTGCCTCAAACATCGCTCAATTTTATCTTATAAATGTTCAATAGGATTTAAGTTAGGCGAATAAGGTGGCTAATCTAAAACTTTGATACTATTTTCATCAAGCCAGTCAGTAACAATATCTGCTGTGTATTTTCTATCATTATCATGTTGAAAAATAATCTGATTTTTTCTTAAACGCCATGCACGCAACGTCCTTATGAACTCATCTTTTAGTATTTCACAATACAATTCCTTATCTATCAATCCTTCAATTCTATAATAGTTTCCTACACCTAATACACCCATACAACCCCATATCATCACAGAACCCACTATATTTTACTGTTGGCTTAACATGTTGTGGTAATAAAGGCAATTTTGGATCTCTCCAACACCACTCTCTTCCATTTGAACAAAAAATTACAAACTTTGACTCGTCTGAAAAAATTACTCGACACCAATCTTTGACAGTCCAATGACGGTATTTTTTGGCAAATTGCCTTCACAATTTTTGACTCTTGGTAGGAGAAGGGGCTTCTTTCTTTTTACCCTGGCTTGGAGACCTTGTCTCCTTAATGCGTGACAAACTGTACTTGTGGAAACACAAATACCCTCTTCAGAAACTAATTTTTTTTGAGCTTGGACAGCATTCAAACATTGGCCTGACTTAAAAAACCTGGCTATCTTTCTTTCATGACTTTGAGTAAGTATTTTTGGCCGGCCTGGCCTTGGTAAGACATCCAAACCACCTGTTCATTCTTTCAAATGCTTTATTCTTAAGACGGTAGCATGGCTCACTTTTACACGAAAGGCAATCATGTGACTTGAATAACCCTCCTCAAGAAGGGTAGAAATTCGTTCTCTTGTCATATCAGGAATAGCTCTCATTGTTATAAGAATGTTGCAACGTACTACAACTAACTTAATTTGTGAGCCATTTATATATTTTTGGCATAAATACGTCACAATTGCTCAATTTATTTTATTTACGTAAATCTGTCATAATTATAGTTCCATAAGAACAATGCATAATCGGAGTTTTTTTAGTAAGCTACAAAAAAAGTACTAACTAAATTTGTTTATATTAAAATTTAAGTAAGTAGGTTTATGTCATCTAAATTTGCTGTGCATGACTTATAGAACGTGAGATATCGTGATTCAAAGAAAAAAAAAAACGGAACAATAATAATGATAGATACTGTATAAGCAGCAATGATTTTTTACCTAAATAAACGATATAACTCTTGGAGGTAATACTTCAAAGTTGGTATTAGTAGAAGTCTTTTTTATTGTTTTTGTGAATATTGTTGCTGCTATTATATGCTCGAGAGAAAAAAAGAATAAGATCAAATCACAGCATAGATTATTTATACATATTTTTTGATTAACTCCGTGCCAGCTAATTTTTAATAGACCAGTTCATGATTTCGCAGTTGATATTGAGATCAGCTGATGTTAATTTTATAAGAAATCTTGAAATTTTTGGGAGTTTTTTTTTTTTTAGAATCAGATCAAGAATTAGGGATAGGATTATTATAGCCGCAAATTCTATTGGGTTAGTAAATTTAAATAGAGACATCAAATCTCAGCATCAGCTGCGATAATTAGAATAAAATAAGTTAATTTTTTAAAAAAATAGTATACATATTATAGTGTTGCCGGTATATCCAATGCAAGTCATTTAATCGTATCACGTTATTGGTCTTAGCGCACTATCATTTTCGCTATCGGTCTCGCTATAATCTTTGATGATCAGTGATTATCAATCCATCAAACCGGCAAAAAATTAGGAGAAAAAAAAATCAAAAATATCGAAGATATAGAAATAAGTACATATCGATCTTAGCGGAAATTAGCATAAAACGTAAACGCAGCCTTTTTTTTTTTTTTTTTTTACCTATCGTTATAGTATCGACTCTGTGATCACAGATCTTGCCTTTGCAAATTGCACTTAGAAAATATATGCGGATTGTTTTTCGATAGTATAGTAGCCATGGTTAGTGGCCATGGTTAGTGTCCATGGCCACAGCAATGGCCATGGCCATTGCCACCAGCATATAGAATATAAAAATGACGGATGAGAATTTCCT